TCCTGCACCACCAAAAAACGAGTAGACTTTTACAATCCAAGCAACGACTAGCTACCAATCCAGCCAAAGGGGTATTAGATGGTGGCCTATTAATCCAATTTCCGAACCTGGCCTTACATAGGCAACGAGAGATGACCAAACAAATAGGAACAACGATAGACAGGATCATGGATGATTTGTTGGCAGTTCAAGAATCTTACGATTACTTCTAACGAAACCGATGACCCCTTTTAGAAAGCCTGTGGTTTGGTATTTCGGCTTCAAATTAATAGAATTATATACTGTTAGTCATTTGTTAGAGTTTAGTTAATTTGGCATATTGAAAGCATTTGTTCCGATGGTCAGAAGTAATAATGAATCTTTTTTAAAATAAAGACGACTGCAATAGTTAATGGTTAATGACAATGAACGTGAAAATATTGATTTTGTTGTTTTTTTTTTTGTATTGAGGATTTAACGAAATTTGAAGCTTGAATTTGTAAACAAACATTTTAAATTTCATAATGTATATGTTATGTACTCAACTTAAATTTTAAAGAATAAAATTAAAAAATTGTTATTTAAGATGATACTGTATGCAATAATTTAAAAAATTTGAAACTTATATTAAAATTTTAATTTTAATTTCTAGCGAAAACTATAGATTAATTTTATATAGATCAAAATAATTTTTGAATGACCATCCTAGCTAGGGATATCCCAATCCAGTGCTTGCTTAAATGAAGGATCCATCAAACAGGACCGGTCTGTGATATCACATGTGATAACAAAGAGGATAGAAATCCCTTCTGAGATTCAAGCAAAAGTATCAGGATATTTAGATAATTAATTTATCCTTGAGAATTTAATACATTAAAATCAAGTTAGTTTAGTAATATTAGGAAATATTAATAAACTCAATACTAACTAACTGGAACTGCCACTATTTACAACTAAGTATTTGATTATTTGACTTCTAGCTGAGTTTGCCTACTCTCAAAGTATAAGTCAACTTAGCTAGATTATTACAATAGATTATTATTAATTTGCATATATATAGATAT